TAATAATTCCTACACTGGGGAAACATATATACTGGGTGATCAGTCCAGCAACACACACAAGGGGGGAAAACTACCATAACATTTATACCTACATGCCAATAACTCCATAAACCCCATAACATATTTAGCCCATCAAATTATACAAACAATTTTATAAAGAAAAACTAAATCAAAAAATGATAATAAAAATATAACAAACAACTATGCCAAAACCCAACTCCGCATCCCCCTACTGTGGGCACCTGTTGGTACCGCCGATGGGAATTTAAAGGAAACCATGGCCATCTAGGCTGTTTGCCCGTCGGACCAAAAAAATGTATGCACCACTTCCTGTTGTTTAACTCCTCCAGGTAACTGCAACATTGTGTGGCTGTTTCAGGCCATCACATGACAACTCAAAACAGCTGTTCAACACTGGGAATCCACATGAGGTTAACAAGGGGGGCGTGGTACAGGAGGATCGGCACGATTGGGGTGTGACAAAACCCCCCCCCTCGGTGTGCACGCCCCAGGGGAGTGGAGGAACGGGACCTGGGACACAGGACCTGGAAAACAAAAGCAGAGCACAGGGAACAACACAGACACACAGAACAGGCACAAAGAGAACAGCTCAGACAACAAACAACAAACCACAGGGAACGCAGACAGACACAGGGGCACCAAAAACGGGAACACAAGAACCCAAGGAGGGGGACAACAACGGGACAACACCAGGGGAAACACCCACAGGAGGCACAAAGGTAACAAAAGGGAACAGAGGCACAGAGGGACGGGGAGCAAACACAGGGGGCACAAAGGCAGAAGGCAAGGAGGCAAAGGGCGGGGGGAAACGGGGAGCCGGAGGGATCCCCGGCAGGCGAGGGGCGGAAGCCACAGGGGCAGCAGGCAACTGCGAGGCTGGAGCCGGAGGGACCCTCGGTGAGTGTGAGGAGGGAGCAGGAGGGAATGCCGCAGGTGGCAAGGAGGAAGGCGGAGGGACTGACAGAGGGGGCAAGGAGGAAGAGGAAGGGGACAAAGGTGAAGGGGAGGAGGGAGCAGCAGCCGTGGTAGTCGAAGGCGCAGCCCTCGTCGGCCAAGGCGTAGGCAACCGCTGAGTCGGAGACGGGGGACCTGCAGGCGACCGTCGAGGTGCCAGAGGCAGGACTGCAGCCAGCCAACGAGGCACCGCAGGCGACTGTCGGGCCCAACCCAGGGGGACTGAAGGCAACCGCCAAGCTGGAGCCAGAGGCCCCGCAGACGACCGCCGAACCGCAGCCAGGGGAACTGAAGGCGAGCCAGGGGGCAGGGCGGGCGGGACCTGACCCCGGTGCAGGTGTCCCCTCCCTTTCTGGGAGACTGAGAGGCAGGGACCCGGCCGGGACCTGCCACGCTGGGGTGATGGTGGAGGAGTCACTGGGGAGGTCAGGGGGCATGGAAGTAGGGTCCGGGGAATCAGGGATGTCCTTGGGGAAGGGATCCGGAGACCGAGCAGGAACCTCAGGGGATGAAGCAGGAACCATGGGGGACGGCACATCAGCCTCAGGCTCAGGAACCACGGGGGACTGCATCCTCCGCCGGCCTCACAGGAACCTCTGGAGGCAGAGCTAGAGCCTTAGGCATGGGAACCACTGGGGGAGCTGCGGGAACAGCCGGCATGGGGACCACTGGGGGCGCTGCGGGAACAGCCGGCATGGGGACCACTGGGGGCGCTGCGGGAACAGCCGGCACAGGAACCATGGGGGGCGGAGTCGGGGTTTGTGCCCCGGTAGTGAGCGCCATCTGCTTCTAGAACCAGAGAACCCGTGGGATATCGTCCCAAATGGACCTGGCCCCTTTAAGGGCCAGGCGCATCCCAGAAAAGGGGGGCACTGCTGATGTGGGCAGCGAAGTGGCGGGCAGAAGGTCGGGGCAGGCGGTAGCAGGAGCGAACACCGCCGGATTTAGATTCGGGAGGGGATCCTCCCAACACCCGGCAGGGGAAGCAGAGAGAGAGAGAGCCCCCAGGCAGACCTCCTGCGTGTCTTCCTGCTTTTGTTTTCTCAGCTTTTTCCGGCTTGTTTTCTGTGGAATCTGGGGCACTTCTGGCAGCTCGGATAGTGGACCATATGGCAGTCCGCTGGAGAGGGCTACCTTCCGCATGTTTGCTTCCGCTACCCCGCTTCTCAGCCGCCGCAAGTTGTCGCACACCTCTCCCGCAAGGTGTGCGCCTCTGGGTAGGAACATCTCCTCCAGTATTTCCCCGCACCGGTAGGCTAGAGCCCGAAGCAGGGAATCATCCTGGACTTTGGGCTGATCGAGCCAGTATACTACCTCGTCTGTGCAGCTGAGGTATTCCTCCTCCGACATCCGAGGCATCTTCTTTGCGAGTTTTGTCATTCTGTCATGTATCGTAGCACATGAACCGGGGAAACAGGCTAAAGACATCAAGGCTGGAGCAATAAGGGATTTAATGGGCCAACGGAGAGGCATCCAGAGACAAAGCACATAACAACACGATACACTACACTACAATGATAGAACTAGGGAAACAAACTCTGACGTGGGCTTAAATACACCGAACTAATAAGGACAACTCGAAAAAGCTGTTAAACACTGGGAATCCACATGAGGTTAATGAGTGGGGCGTGGCACAGGAGGATTGGCACGATCGGGGTGTGACAATAATATTTTGTATAATATACTAGGACAGCACGGTATAGGAAAATTTCTAAGTATTACAATGTAATTTTGTGGTGATTAAAAAAAAAACCCATCTAGGAGTACTTTAAACAACAAGGATGAAAATGACTATGATAGTCTTGGAGAACGAATGCAGCATTAATGCAAAAGCGCCGGAGGTGAATTTTATACTGATTTTTAAACATATACTAGATAATCTTGAAAAGGAAAAATAATTAAAATTGTAATTCTTTGCAATTCTTACTTCGCCAGTCAGCTAGATTAAGATCAGGCTTTTTCTCAATTCGGTATATGGACATTATAGGTTTGTTTCACTAAAACATTCTGTGTCACAGGAAAAAAAAATCAAGTTTAACTGTGACACAGTTAAAATGTTTTAGCGCAACTTAAATCTATAATGTCCATATACAGAATTGACAGTGAGAAAAAGCCTGATCTTAATCTAGCTGACTGGTGAAGTAAGAATTGCACATGCACAACATGCGATATTGGTATTTTAATTGTACAATGGCCAGCCCTATAATATACAGCCATTTTTTTAATTCAGTACAAAATATCCTGCCTCGTATTGTGATGTCATTTAGTGCTGGTACTGGTTTTTACGCCAGTGGAAACCAACAATTTCTTGAAATATCAAAAGTAAGTACCTGGTGTGATGGGAAAGTGCCCTTTAAAGAGAATGCAGAATTATGGAATGCATGAGACACTCTAGTGAAAAGTAGAAGCGCTTGTTTTGATCCTGCTGATGTAATACAATGCAGAAGAACTCTTCGTACTCTCATTAATAAGCTGAGACCAGTTGTTTTTAAATTGGATATGGAGAGGCTTATTCTTACATTTGTATTTTCTCACATTGACTACTTTAATTCTCTTTTCTTGCTTAGTAAGGCATCTTTACGCTGCTTACAATCAGTTCAGAATGCTTCAGTACTCTGCTTACTAAATCTAGTAAATGGTCCCATGTGACTCTCCTTTTGAAATCTTTGCACTGGCACCCAATATCTTATAGAATTCGGTTTAAGATTTTAATTTTTTCGTGGTAATGCCCCAGGTTATCTATTTCATTTACCTTATCCATTTACTTTTATAAGTGCTACATAAATAAATTTTACTTTCTTACTAACAATATTTCTTACTGTTAGTACTTTCTTACTAACAGCCCTCTAAAAAGATTATTTAGCCCTCCTGAATAAATGTACACTTGTTAGTTGAAATAGTGTGTTCTCATTCATTTTCAGTAAAATCCTAAATTAGTTTGAATGCACAAGGATTGTCAAGGTAAGAATCTTATCTCATCTTGTCGTGTCAGTCCTGGGGAATGCACAATAATTTAGGGTTTTAAATTTTAGAATTGTTAGCCTCTTTGAGGGGGACTAACCACCATTGCAACATTTTTACTTTGTGAAAGGTAAAAGGAATTGATTACTCTGACTTAGTACATCTCACTGGGGACTGAGATTATTAGTTATAATAAGATGATCTCTTACAAAGAATGAAGCAGTTTTTGGTGACACTGTTGTGATGGTATGTGCGCTGTAAATTTCAAGAGCATAGATTTGAGTGTGGACAGTCAGGACATGTCCCTACCAGTATTGTGTGTCTTTAGGGGTGCAGCTCTTCTTATATAATGTATGACTTTTGTTATGATTATGTGCTCTGAGTTGTCTAGCCCTTTCTAGATTTTGCTTGCTTTCATATTGTATATTTGGTTTTCACCGTTCATTGGTTATGTTAGTCCCCAACCCTGTTGAATGGCAGGACAAGGATTCCTTTTGTTTTTCACTCTTTTGCTACATTTTTTTGGGTTGGGTCCTTCCCTCACTTATTTTCTTTGGCATAAGATTTAGTGAATATAGGTAGATTTGAGTTTTTCTTGTTTGGTTTGGGGGTGAAATCTACTTTCCAATACTGGAAGAATTTCATGTCATATACCTCTAACTGCTGTAAATAAAACTCATGGCAAAGAGAATTTACCTAGGTCTTTATCATATATGACTACATACAGTATATGTCACAACTCAACTAACACTTACTAATAATCCCAGGCTAACAGTGATAAAAGGTTATCCACATGTTCTCCAAGGTTTTCCAACAGTGCTGACCTTAATATTAGCTAATTTGGTCGGCCACCCACAATGTATGTGTCCTGTTTTACTAAAAATGAATTCAGAGTGATTTAATATTAGTCATGCATGAAATGGGGTAAAGCAAAAATGCAGAATGTAACTGGGAGCTTATTTGCATTCCTTGGTTGGTGTGGACGTCTAAAACTTCTAAGTACTTGTATTTATTGCATAAGAATTAGTATCTAACTTTATTTTTTTCCCTCACTGTTTTGCTAGGATGTTTTGGAAGGAGGTAATCTACGTGCCCCTTTACAGGAGCTTCACCAGATGATCTTGACACCCATAAAGGCTTGCAGGAACTTGGAGCCAGGACAACACTCCTTGCTTAGTGCTGATGGAAAGGAAAATCTCCCAAGTTCACACTTAAGTGGAAGTGAAGCGGAATCAGGCGTTTCAGCCAATGCAGAAGATGACATCCCTGCCCAGTTTACTCGTGTAATGGGCAAAGGTACAATACTCTTGTGCAGAGTACGAATTACCCCTCCATAATTGGGGGGTACTGCCTTCATAACACTTCTATGACCATTATGGTCCGTTACCGCATCAATACGAATAGTCGCCACCAGGATGTTGAGTGCAAGATGCGCTAGGGGTGTTTACCCATGTATGCAACACACGGTCATGGTCTGGACATGTAACAAAATGACAATCAGTACAGAAGATCTCATTATCCTTATCCCAATCCAAAAGATTTTGGTTTTGAATTATCCTAGAAGTACAGTGGTACCTCAGAACTCGAACTTAATCCGTTCAGAACTCCGGATCGAATCCTAAAAAGTTCGAGTTCTGATCGAATTTTCCCCATAAGGGATAATGGAAAACCAATTAATTGGTTCCCGGCCCCCAAAAGTTACACCTAAATATGTTTTTTTAGCATTTAAACACAAAATGAACCGGATAAAACAAGAAGAGCATATACTGTACTAAACACACCTAAGGACATTTATCAAAACAGTAATTTGTAAAGTAAGAAAATAAATGTATCCAAACAATGTGTAAAGTTAAAAAAAACAATGTGTCGTGCCTTGATCGTCTGCTCCTTCCGTGTGCCACGCCCCCTCATTAACCCCGTGTGGAATCCCCATGTGATCAGTTGTTTCTGGTTGTTCTCATGGGTTCTCTGTATTTAGTCTGCGTTTCAGTTTGTTTCCCCAGTCCGGTCATTGTATTGTCTGTCTGCGTTTTACCTGCTTTACCTGTAATTAAACCCCATATTCCCCGATACCCTGACGTCTGCGCCTTTGTCTCCGTTCCGTCCCCGCTTGGCACGACAATATTATTATACTTAAATGTATTAATGGTTTATTATTAATATTAAAATAATTAATAAGAAACCTTTATTTTAAAATGTATTTTATTATATAATAATAATTATTGTTAATGTCTATCATTGTCTAAATATATGTATTCAGCTTGTGTAAACATGCACGATGCTATCACAGCGAATGCGAAGCTTAGACTGAAGCGTTACCCTATGTTTCTTCTGAGAGATGTGCCGCGTGACTCATTTCCCCGCACGTACAAGTTCTTAGGTCGGCATTCACGGTTTGATTTCTGAGATTCAGATCGAATTCTAGGTATTTTTTTTTCGAACTGGTTGGTTCGACTTTTAAGACATTCGAGTTCTAATGAGTTCGAGAACTGAGGTACCACTGTATACTAGTAAAAGTAATAAGCCTATACATTTACAAATAGCTTGGTCTGGTCCAGCAGTCTGGTGTTATTCCTGCCCTCTCAGTCCCCCCAACTCCAAAAGCCTTCAGAAATAAATATTTGCCTATTAGGCTAATATATGTCTTGAAAATACAGTAGATCTTAAAGTACAGCCTAATTTCTAACTCACCTCTTGGTCCTGCGCGCTGTCCTCATCCTGCCATCTTCCTGCTGCCTGCTCACTGTCCTACACACTGTCCTGATCCTGCCATCTCCCTGCTGCCTGC